GTGCCTGTGCTTCCTGAGTGCTGAAATTAAATGTGTACACCATTGCGGCTGGCTTGCACATGAAATATAAAATGCAATGCTTGTATTAATTTGTATTTTCTTAAGTGTAATTATTGAATTGTGTAATTTAAGTGGCTTATATATAAATGAAGATGTGTTTTATATTGACAGCTGGTTTTTAATCAGAAAACAACAATTTGCTTCATTTCTTCCTTTCCTCTCTCTCTCTCTTTCTCTGTGTGTGGCCACTCGAGTGTAGGCCTCACTTGTGTAGCCCTGGAGACCCTCTGTCGTGGTGTACTCATCCTGTCCATCAGGGAGGGGCACCAGCTTTCTGGGCGTTGTGTTGCTGGCCAGGGCTTGCCCACCTTGTACCCTGCCCACAGTGTTCCCCCCACTCTTCTCCAGTTCGTCCCTCGCATCTCTCCGGACCCTGCCTTACCCTTCTGTTTCATAGACTGACCACTGCCTGATACTGCCGTGGATTTATGATCTGTGTTCCCTGTTAACGTGGCCAAGACTCCACAGTCTATTCACCACAGCTCTGGGCAATGGTACGGACTGAGTAAATGTCAGGTGAAACCATGAATCGTGGGGTCGACATCAGGTCTCTTGCCTCCATTCATTCTCTTTTACTGAAAATGTGAATATACAAGGTGCCAAGTGATCTTCATTGTTTTAGCCTCTCCTTGCTTATCTAGACAAAGCTTATGTCAAATTCCTAGCAGCAGAGAAGCCATTACCTGGTCCACACCCTGGTGAAGTCAGGATGCACAGATAACTTTCAGTCCATAACACTGTTTTTCTTGTCTTTTCCTCCCCAATGGCATGCACTAGGCAAGTCTGGTTTAAAAAAAAAAAAAAAAAAAAAAAAAATCTAGTATGCTTATTTAGAGTGGATCCAAGAACTGCCTGAGATGGCTGCCACACCTGTGACCTTATTGCCTGAGAGGTAGGGGCAGCAGGAACAGAGTTCAAGGCCAGAATCAGCTACATAGTTAGCCTAGGCTAGCCTAAGCCACAAGAGACCCTGCCTCAAAAAAACCTTTAAAAAGAGTAGATCTGAGGAAAACAAACTGAACCAGAAAAGGCGTCATCGTCACATTCTTGCTGTTAAATGACATCTCAGCCTCCTTCACGGCACATTCTTTTGTGGTGCTAATAAAACCCTTGGGAACGTGACCCACGGGTTGCTCTGTATTGCCACGGCCATGGCTGTGAAAGCTGTTTTCATGGCTTGTGAGTCATTGGCCTTTTCTGTTTCCTTGCTTGCTCATTTGAGACAGGATCTCATGTAGCCAGGCCAGACTTGAACTGCCTTTGTAGCCAAGGATGACCCAGAACTCTTGTTCCTCCTGCCTCCGTCTCCAGGTGCCGGTGTTACAGGTGTATTCCACCATGCTCTGCTTTCTTGGCACTTTTTTTTTTTTTTTTTTAAGATTTGGTTTTCTTTCTTTTTTTTTTATGTGTATGTATTTGTGTGTAAGTATATGCTGTGTGTGTGTGCTGGTGCCTGCAGAGGCCAGAAAGGACATTTGATCTTCTGGAGCTGGAATTACAGGCCATTGTAAACTGCCTAATTTGGGTGCTGGAAGCAGACCTCAGGTCTTCTGGAAGAGCAGCAAACACTATCAACAGCTGAGCCATCTCTCCAGCCCCTCACTTTTTAAAAAATGTATTTTTTATTGTCTATATTTAAGGTAGGCAACATAGTGTATTTTTTGTTTGTTTTTGTTTTGAGACAGTCTCACTATGTAGCTCTGGCTAACCTGGAATGCTTTATGTAGACCGAGCTAGCCTTAAACTCTCAGAAACCCATCTGCCTCTGCCTCTGGATACTGGGATTAAAAGTGTGGGCCACCACATCAGCCCCCCCCCCCCCCCCGCAACATTATGTTTTGATGCATAAGATTGTATAGCACAGATAGCAGTTGACAGAGGCTAGCCTGATAGTCACAGACTCATCTAGGCCTTAAAAAATAAAAAAATAAGAAAATAAGCTGGTGGTGGTGGTGGTGGTGGTGGTGCTGCTGCTGCTGCTGCACACCTTTAATCCCAGCATTCAGGAGGCAGAGGCAGGCGGATCTCTGTGAGTTTGAAGCCAGCCTGGTCTACAGAGTGAGTTCCAGGACAACCAGGGCTACACAGAGAAACCCTGTCTCAAAAAATAAAAACAACAACAACAAAAGGGCAAAAATAAATAAATAAATGCCAATCTGCTTGAAATTAATTAATTAATTAATTAATTAATTAATCATCTAGTCTTGTGACTCCAAAACTGATCAGGCCTCTGAGGACTCCACAGTGTAGATACTCTTATTCTCATTTTGCATGTCATCTGTACATCCCTTCCTGTGCTTTAAGTCATCTTTAGATTATTTAGAATACTCAACGCGATTTAAATGCTGTGGGAGTAGTTGTCAGAGCACACTGCTCAGTGATAACGACTAGGAAGATGTCCGTGCATGTGGAACCTGGGCTTCGGGCTGGATAAGTGTGACCCTAGTGATAGCGAGCGCTGTGGGACAGACGAAGGAAGAGACAAAGAGAGCAGAGATGAGAGGGCCTTCTGGGGCGGCAGTGTTTATCTTGCAACTAGAAATATTAGGGGAAGAACATTTGGGCAGGAAATGGGGAAGTGTGTTCCCAGGATTAAAAGCAGACCAGTGTGGTTTGACCACAGTGAGTGACTAAGGAAGAGCTGGGCTTCCAGCAGAGAAGCCTTGCAAATACCCACAAGACAAACCTTCATTCTCCTGGGACCTTGGAGTTCTGTGTGGAAAGTGGATGTAGATCTGAGGAGGAAGCAGTGAGACCAAAACTGTCCCCTGATGACCAGTGGGACCAGGCAGAAGTGCTAAAGATGAGGAGGGGAGGAAGTTACAGGAAGTAACAGGGACCACAAGAAAGGACGCCACTGGAGGGCTTCTGCTGGAGCTGGGGCATAGTCAAGGACGGCCCAGCTGCCTCCTGTGTGAGAGGAGTGTGAGCGGACAGCACGTACACACTTAAACACGGTGTCAGTACTAGAGCGGTGTGGGGGGGAGACACTGAAACACGATGTCAGTACTAGAGTGGTGTGTAGGGGGAGACACTTAAACATGATGTCAGTACTAGAGCGGTGTGGGGGGGGAGACATTTAAACATGATGTCAGTACTAGAGCAGTGTGGGGGGGGAGACACTGAAACATGATGTCAGTACTAGAGTGGTGTGTAGGGGGAGACACTTAAACACGATGTCAGTACTAGAGTGGTGTGTGTGGGGGGAGACACTGAAACATGATGTCAGTACTAGAGTGGTGTGGGGGGGAGACACTTAAACATGATGTCAGTACTAGAGTGGTGTGGGGGGTAGACACTTAAACACGATGTCAGTACTAGAGTGGTGTGGGGGGGGGAGACACTTAAACACGATGTCAGTACTAGAGTGGTGGGGGGGGGAGACACTTAAACACGATGTCAGTACTAGAGTGGTGTGGGGGGTAGACACTTA